CTCAGCATTCCCAGCACCCGCACACTGCTGGCCCACCACACGCCATCGACCCGGCCATTGGGGGCTCCGCCTACGACATGAGCGCCGGCGGCCCCGACGATGGGAACACGAGCGAGGGTCGCTCCAAGGGACGGAGAGAGCTGTCGACATCTAAGCGTGCCGCACAGAATCGCGCTGCCCAGGTACATGCAACGCGCGCATTCCAATGGCACAAGCTAACACCACCAGCGTGCATTCCGCCAGCGTAAGGAAGAGTACATCAAGCAGCTGAAAGACCAGGTCAAGGAGTTCGAGCAGCTATGCGAGCTGTACAAGACGCTCCAAACCGAGAACTACCAATTGCGCGATTACATTATCAATCTGCAATCGCGACTACTCGAAACCCAGGGCGAGATACCACCTGCGCCGGCTGGTGTAGATCTCAACCGGCCCCACGAACAGCCAAACATGCACCAACAACCGAACCCACCACAGCCGCCCCAACAGCCCGAGCAACCACAGCAGCAACAGCAGGGCTCGAACAACAACAATGGAGGACTTTCGGAGCACCAAATCGGCGAACTGCAAATGGCAGCGCAAGCTGCAGCAGCCGCCCAACACAGCGCATCAGGCAACAAGCACACCAGCTCTGAAGGTTCGTACGACTACGCCGAGAAGCGCCAAAAGGTCGACGAGCCACCGCAAGGTCAGCAGCACCCTTCGCCATCCTCTTTCTACCCCAACCCAGACGCTTATTGAAGATGAAGAAGCAGCCGGTCCGATCCATGGCTTACCAGCATAGTAGGCTCAGGTTCCTCCGCCGCAGATTACGACGCTTTCGTCAATGAACTCCAGCAATCGTCCAGCAAGCAGACCGCATAGGCACACCGATACTCACATACCCTCGTCGCGTCTGCTCATCTCCTCCTCATCACCTCTTATCGCTATTTTAATTCGCTTCTCAGCCATCCTTTTCTAGCCTCGCTTTATGATGTAATGCATAGGCCCTGAAGCCTGTCTTTTATTCGCTCGGGCCGGCGGTGTTTTACTGTGCTGGGCGTATGGAGTACGTGTGTCGTTGACACATTTACCACGTTTTTATTCCAACGCAGTGTATGGGTCAGGATAGACTGGACCGTATTTGTAGCCTCCCCCGACAGGGTTCTGTGCTGCGTTGTGCTGTGCTGTTTTTAGGGGAATACCAATGTTTTCGGTGGCTTCGAGCTGCTTCCACCCTTATATCTTTGCGCGAGTTGAGTGAGACCTTCGGTTTTGCCCGCGATCAGTATTGTTGCGTGTGTTCCTTGATCTCTCTGCGCATGTCGTTGCTGAGTCTGCTCGGGTTTGTACGGTGCGAAATTGCAAAGGGCGTTTAGTAATCCACTGCGGCCGAGTAAATCGCCGAGCGGATGTTGGCATTGAGACGACACCTCTTGATCCAGCTCTGGGACTGCAAGCAACACGCTCCTTCCCTCGAGCTGGAAATTCACGACAATCACTCATCACATGCGAAATTCTCGGGAGACTCATAGTGTGTAACTCTATAGATTACAATTTGGTACATTAAACGATTGGTATCATACTCCACATCATGCCCCATCCGCGCATTCATCGCATAAAAAAAAGGGACCTGATCAAACTGGCCAAAGGAAGAAAGAAGCTCTAGCTGACATCTAGAAATGGGGCGTGTTGAGCGCCATAACCATGAGCAGACCGGAAATAAGACCAGCACCGGGCAGGGTGATGACCCATCCCGAGAAGATGAAGCCGACCTGCTTCCAGTTGACGGCCTTGAGGTCAAAGTTGCAGAGCGCAACACCAATGGTAGCACCAGTGAGACATTGCGTTGTGGAGACGGGGAGAGCGAGACGCGAGGCGAGGAGCACGGTGATGGCGGCGCCGAGCTCCATGCTGAAACCACGCGTGGGCGAGACTTGGGTGATCTTGTTGCCGAGCGCGCGTACGATGTGGTAGCCGTAGAACCAGAATCCGAGACCGAGGAGGAGACCCGCGACGACGAGGATCCAGATGGGTGTGTCGGCTTCTTTGGTTACGACGCCGGTGGTGTAGGTGTTGTAGGATCCGACCCAGGGGCCGACTGCGTTGGCAACTGTGATGGTGAGTTAGCATGCGTGTCTGTGGGAATTGGGGTTGAGAGAATGAGCTTACCATCGTTGGAACCGTGGGCAATGGACATCATCATGGCGGAGGCAACTTGGGCGTAGGTCCAGAGATGCTCGACACGGTTGTCGTAGACGACAGCGCGGGAGTGGACATCGGCGAGATCCTTCTGAGTAACGACGTCGCGGGAGATACCCTGGAGAAGAATGAACTTGGTCCAGTTGGCGATCTTCTTGGGGGAGTAAGCGGGGAGGTGCTCGACGGGCTTCAACCAGCGCTCCTCAGGCTCAGGGGTGGCAGGGACAATGTGAGCTACGGCGCCATCGCGGGGAAGAGGACGGGAGAGGCCGCGGCCACCTTCGACGTCAATGTTGTCGCTGTCAGAAGACTTGTTGTCGAGGGAGGTGGAGTGGCCAACAGCCTTCTCGCCCTTGAGTCCATCGTTCTCTTGGATCGGGACAGGGGCAGCCTTCGCGTAGTAATCGGTAACGACCTGGTCGCCCTTGCCGGGGAAGTAGATGGGAGGGTTCTCGCGGTACAGAAGGGGACCGAGAGGAATGTGCCACGCCCTCAGCCTGGTGTCACCCTTGACAAGGCGGCGGGTGAAGTAAGGGATGAAGAAGATGTAAGCGATGGCAAGCATGCCGAAGAAGACACCGAGAATGATACCGCAGGCCTTGCCAGCGCCCATCTCCTCGAGAGACTCGCCGTTTGGCAGCTCGTCGATGATGAAAAGGGCGAGGACACCAGCGGTGAAGGCCAGGTAGAAGGGAATCAGGCGCAGAGCCCACTTGAAGGGGTCCTTGCGGTTGTGGACACCGAACTTGATGGTCAAGAAGAGGACGGCAGCGAAGGCGGCGGACAGGAATGGCGCAATGACCCATGAAGCGGCGATCTGGGAGATGGATCCTTTCTTCCAGCCCCAGCTGAGAGGAGACTGAGCAGCAATACCGGCACCAGCGAGAGCACCAACGACGGTCTGGGTAGTCGAGACGGGCATACCAGCGATGGTAGCGACAGTAAGGAAGACGGCGGATCCGACCTCGGCGCAACCCATGGCGAGCATGAGGGTACCGGGTACAGGCTTGAAGGTGTCGAGGGCGAAGATACCGCTCTTGATAGTTCCAGTGACTCGGGATCCGAGAGCGACAGCACCGAGGAACTCAGTGAAGCAGGCCAGAATACCAGCCTGCCACATCTTCAAGGTCCTCGCAGCCACGGACGTGGCGTAGGAGTTGGCGACATCGTTGGCACCGTTGGATGCAGACGAGGCGATAAAGGCGATGGTGGTGATCGCTAGGATCCAGTCGTACTTCTTCAAGGCGGGAGCCATTGTGGGTGAAGAGTGGCGAGCAGTAGCGCCGGTTGACTGAAAAGCTGAGGTGTTGTGAGGTGTCCTGACTGTTTGGTTGAACGAGTGCAGGGGAGTTTAAGTACACAGCATACAAACGGAGGCGTGGGATCTTGGCGGCGCAGATGACATTTCACTGCAAGTGGACTTTTGTGGACGTCAGACGGTGTTGCCTGCCTGTTCGAGGCGCGGTGGATCATTGAAGCCACAATATCATGCTATTCGGCTCTGGCCGTGGTCCAAAAGCCCAACAGCACCTATTTTCTGGACCCTCAGCGCCGCTCCGGGGTGAGCGTTCGGGTGCAAGAGACGTGTGATTGGTCTGTAGGACCCCCAAGCCTGGATCCACGCGCATGGCATGTTGGTGTCGCGTTAAGTCTCCACTGTGTCTTGTCGCGGGTCTTCGCCATCGCCTTGGTGTAACCAAGTCAAGGTGAACGAACGAGCGTTCGACGCTGTACCACGTTCCCTTGGCGCCCAGTCCGCCCAGCCCCACGCCAAGCTGGGCCTCCATCCTTCGAAATCTCTGATAACCCCAGATCATCGTAGACGCCGCTAACTCTCCAGCCAATCACATTGCGTCCTTTTACCTCGTGGTAGAACCACGCCCTCAGAGCGTGCTACACGACTGCGGATGGCAGAGCGTGGTATTGGTATTCACGAACTACGGTGCCGCATAACCGCGTTCCCGTCCGCCTAAGTAAGCCTTACAAGGATTGCCGAGGCAGCCTTCGTCGAGCTTCGGTGCTGCCATGAGATGAGGCAAAGCCTTGTCAACCACTACAAGCCGTTCATTGAAGACATGTGCCCTATGGTCTAGCAAGTCGTCTAGACATGCAAAGAAAGAAGTTGATCGGGCTGACCGAGTGGGTGTCATGACTTCGCGAGGAGATGATGATGGAATATCGCCAGGGTCTACCGAAAAAGAACTGCGAGCTGAAGGCTAACAGTGACATTCACACGCGCCTGGTACATGGGACCATGGATGGAAGAACGTCGGATAGGCGCCGAGTTAGGTAAGCCAGACGTGTGCGCAATCGGTCCGTGGCTCTCTCGTCTCTCGCATCTATTTTCAATACATAACGCCCTGGCTTCTTCGAACAACATGGTATTGTTTTGAATCATCATTGGTTCCATCCACTCGGCGAGCTCCGGTGTGTCAGTGGCACGTTGGTAGGGCAGACCTTATGCAACAGCCCACTGTAACCCCATTTAATCCATGTTGTCCCTGTTCATGCATGGAAGCCCGCGAATTCTCCCTGCATGCTCATATCCGCTGTCAATGTCCCAGACCCATGGTACACGAGTTTAGACCCGCTTGCATATAAGAGGCCGCCGGCACTTGCAGGACCCATAGCAAACAAGGGTCAGTGCGGTGTTACAAACCAGGACATGTTGGCACCATCTTTACGGAAAGGTGTCTCATATCTTAATTGCATCTGTCTTCCAGCTGCAGGAGCAAACATTCTTCCTTGCAGTCCGACCCACTTCCTTCTCAGGCTCCCCGATACAGATTCTGTATGCTTCCGCGCTAGACCTCACAATTTGCCTACTCTCGTCCATCTCCCCACTCCATCCAGCTGTGCAGCTCTTCAACCATCTCAAGATACGGGATTGACCCCCTTGGCAAGGACACACACTCTCTGACCAGCCTATCGAACACCTTCTTGAGCTCAACACAGTTGTCCAACGTAAGCTCTGGAATTTGTCGTCTCATCTCGCTCGCCAAGAGTATGAGCGCCAGCACCTTTTCCTTGCCCCGAACCTCGTTGTAATCGCCGAAAGGAATGTGGATAGATTCTCGACAGAGCGCTTCGACTGCAGGAACGATGGAAGTAGTGATGGACCTTCCATCTTCCTCGTGGGTCACAGATGTGAGTGGGACGACGTGAAGCAAAAGATATTGGGTGATGAGCAAGGGAAGTGATCCATTCAGCGCGGCGATGAGGTCCTGCATCGTGAGCTGAACGCCGCGGTCGAGAGCCAGTTGGATGATAGCGCGATGACCGTGTGTCGCAGCGATGAGCACAGTGTTGACGTCCGCATCATCTGGATGTACCAAACCTTTGTCGAAGACGTATTGCACAATGTTGGTATGACCATGTTTGACCGCAAGACGTAAGCCTGTAGTCAGGGCATTCCAATAGGGCAGGTCGGCGATGAGAGGATTCCATTGGTTCATGAGACATATGAACACGTCCATGTGTCCCCACCTCATGGCATCGGCAAGGTAGTGTGACCGGGACTTCATATGCGCTGGTATTTCAACGCGGCATCTTGGCAAGAAATTAAACAGTGTGACGATGGCCCTCAGTTTTCCGGTCCGAACTGCGGCTCTTATTGCGGAAGTGATAGTCTCTGTGAGTGGACCGCAACGGGTGATACGGCCGTGCTGTATCCGAGCGAAACGCCGCTTCGTGAGCTCATTGTTGACTTCCATGAGCAGACACTCAAGAACTTCGACATTTTCAATGGAAGCTGCTGCGGTCAAAGGGTTACCAAAGCCAGCAAAGTATTTGGGGAACCAGTCAATGACCTCAGCAGATTGCGAAATGTAGTGACGAACAGCTGCGAGACTCCCTACCATAGCTGCTGCTGCCAGCATGTCGTTGACGTTCTCTTGTGCAGAGTTGAGATGGTCCCGTTCCCTTTCCGCTATGCTGCGCGAACCGGGTCTGGACATTGTTGTAAAGACGGAGTCCAACGGCAATGGTTTTATTTCGAACATAGTCCGTGGGGCAACTTCATTTGTAAGGACTAAACCATGGATAAGTGCCTTCAGATGGCCCTGTCGTAGAACAGAACGATCAGTACCTGCGGTAGCGAACTCCATGAGCTTATCCGTGACCTTATGTATGAAATTCGGCAGTCCGGAGGCTGTGATATCGGCGTCTTCGATGTGATTGAGCAGATAGGTCTCGATGTTGCTCAAAAGGTAGCCCTTGATGTCAGATGGAAGCGTATCCATCGAGTCGGTAACACCATTCTTTTTATATTGCGATATAACGTGTAGCTGATGCAGAGGAGGTAGAGGATTCCGGATATCAAGACGAGTAGGAATCGACTGGCGTTGATGGTAACGACTATGAAAGTCCGCAACAGACGTATTCGCAAGAAGTTCGTTGTCGATGTCTCCGGCAAATGTCCCTGTGTCTATTAGCTTCACTATCCATAACTGTCACGAATATCAATGTGTACGGGACACGGCGCGCAGTCGGATTAGCTCATGGAAGGGCGCTGCACGCGCAAGAGCGGTGACAACCCTCTCGAAGAGCTCCGGTGGCAGATCGAGTAATTGCATGTTAGTAGCTTGAAGCAAGTGAGAGTGGTGCAATGGGGAGAGAGAGTTTGAAAGTAGGAGGAGGTGAGTGAGGGTCTTGCCAAGGTGGCTGTAACAGGCAGTGGCGTTGATAAGCGAGGTGAACGAGGAAAGAGCAAACATGCGCGGCTGAGCGCATGAATCAAGTCCACTTAGAACGAAAGAAAAAAGAAGGCACGATAGTCCTGTTGGTATATGGAAACGCCGTGGTGACTGGGCATAGGCTGAAACAGGAGCTTGCCGACGTTGTGTCTCACGGTGAACAACACCGTTGGGTTCATGCGAACGGGATGACTACACGCGGACGATACCAAACGAAGCCACACTCTCAGCGACAGATACATGACATATTCACCACATAATCGCATGAAGCGCAAGACAAGAGGCTGAGTGACGTCACACGAATAACATCTCTATACTATGAATATGCTTTATAGTACAAGTCTATCAGATGTGCTCGAAAGCACGGGGTATCAAAGAAAAATAATGAGGTAACAAATAAAACTCTAAATGCTCGCTTGAAAGGACTAAAGGGGGCGTTGATGAAAGTACTGGAACATGAAGACTTCGTTGCACGTGAGCTTTCAGCTTTGTGTGGTGTACATGTGTATGTGGTCATGCATTTGCGATGTCGTGTCGCGGTAGGGTTGATGCTGCTGGGGCATCAGGTGATGTTGAGGGTGTTGAGGATGCTGATGGTGTTGTGGGATGTGGTGCTGGGGCTGCTGCTGCTGATGCTGATGAGGGTGACGCATGCCCATTGCGGCAACACTATAGTCAGGAAGCATCTCTGACGAAGCTTGACTCATCTGCGATGATGGTCGCTGATTCGAAGAGCTGCCTCTTGAGCTGCTTATCCGACTGCCTATCTTGTGGAGCGGCTTCGATATCATTTGACCGAACGACGGGCGGTCGTAGTACTGCGACTCTTCGAACTGGGGAGCAGCACCGAAGTAGTTGGGATACAGTGATTCCAGTGGGTTGGGTGTGGCCTTGACTTGATCCATGTACTCCTGTTGGTACAACTGTGTGTGCTGCTCGTGATCCATGACTGGCGTGGGGTGTGCATGGGGTGTATGCATTGTGGATGTCGTCATAGCCGGTGGGAGTTCAGGAATAGCCGGTTGCGCTACGTCCAGGTAATCTCCAGGGTCCACGTCCATATAACTGATACGGCGGCTGGCCGTATCCACTGCGGGCGCACCAGGCGTCTGCGGCTCCACAAATGGAGACGAGCCGCAATCATAGTCAGGCACGTGCGCCAACGAACTACAAATGCGCAGCAAAGCTGCGTTGATGCTCGCGAGCCGCGCTCTTGAGTGATGTGGGTTGGAGTTTCCGATGAGTATGTGCATTCGCTGCTCGCGCGACAGCTTCTCAACATGCGGGACAGAATCTCTTGAGGGTGTTACGAAGCCAGTGGGTAGCTGTTGATGCACTGGGTCCAGGGGTATATCAGCGCGTAGACTCAAGGCGGTAATCAAAACCTCTTCCCGGCTTGGTCGAAGGTCACAGCACTGGAGCTTCTGTCGAAGGATTCGCGAGTTGTCGGGACACCAACTAATCTGCGACCGACTCTCTCGCAATCTCTCGTCCAGGCAACCGATAAGCTCTTTCCATGTGTCGTGGAGAGCTTCCTGTCGTATTAGGTTCCTGATCACATTAGAGTATTTCCACTGGTCCATCGTCGCGCCATTCTTCATGTGCTTCGCGACGTGGTCGCATCGCTCATCCCAACCGATGCTGACTTCTTTACACTTGTCAAACCCGCAACCAAACACTCTTCGCGGCAACAACGTGATGCCAATGTCTGTCAGTGACGGCAGGGGTCGACCGGCATGGTAGCGTTGATGATGCTTGATGAAATCTTTCTGTCGGTCGAAAATGCGGTTGCAACCGTTGACGACACAAGGCCAGTCTTCTCCAGTCTCGTGCATCCTCATCTCATGTTTCTTCCAGTCAGACTTTGCTTTGAACGTCTTCTGGCTCTTCTGTTCGGCACAATACGTACAGAACATGAATGGCTCGCCTGACTGACTCTGTGACTTGTCATCATCCGGGTTCAGCGATGGGGAAGCAACACTAATGTCGTCTGTCGGTGTGTAGCTCGGTTCAATCTTGAGGTCGAGTGGACTCTCAGTGTCCACCACAGGCATGGAAGCCGGCACCGGACGTGTCGGATCAAGACCAGCTGGGTAGGAACGCGGCTCCGCCCTTCTCATCCTGGAGCGCGATGACGAAGAGGAAGCAATGGAACTTCGCGTATCGCTGCTCCCTGTAGATGAAGAGAATGTCGATGCCATAGAAAGCCGAGACCGCCATGATGACCCCGACGAGGATGTTGTAGATGAACTCGCGGTGCTGGTAGACATGAATGACGAGGCTGTAGAGTTGCGGCCTAGACTTGGTGAGCACGTACACACAAAACAATACAACGAGAAACGTACGCGAATCTATCGCTTGAGAAAACATTCTCTGGATCAAATGTGGAGGATGCCTCGCCAGCAGGGCCTCAATGTGTCGCATAGACTCCTCCGGTATGTCTAGGTTGTCCTCCATTGTGGCGAGGGGAGAGCCGTATGCTCAGTTCAAATCGCGCAACAGAAGACTACTCCAACATGCCGACCATGAAGACCTTGCGACAACCCAAACGACTGAAAACTAGAACGAACGACAGGCGGAGGTGCAAAAGAGGGTGGGGAAGGGTATCCAGGTGTCGCGGTAAGACTAGGGGCCAAGGAGTGGATAATCGTGTATCCGAGCAGGCATCAGCTGCTGTTGGTGCGACAGTTGATATACAAGTGGGATCACCTCACGCAAAGGTGCAGCGGGGGATGCGGAAATGGCACGCTTCTAGAAGGCGTATGGAAGGATTGTAGAAGAAGCTAATTGAGGGCTGCTCGCGGGGGCGCTCGTGCGCAACATCGACATGACCACTGCCCTGGTTTGGCCTCAAAGCTGGGGCAAGGCTGAGGCTACGACAGGCATGCCAATATGTAGCGTGTTTGAGGTGGCCGCAAGGAACCGTAGTAGGAGCTGGGAGAGCACGAGGGCAAGCGACGAGAATGAAAGAGATAGTGTGCGCATCGACTGTTCAAGTCTCTTTCAGCGCCGTCTGAAGGCAGTTTTCGAGCCGGGTCGAGACGTGGCCGGACAAGGTGGCTGCGCGAGGCGATGATTCGCACAGACATGGTGTGCAGCAACACGCACCTATCGCAGAAACGCAACAGGCCATCCGCAACGAATCCATCCGAACACTAGGCCCTGTAAGGGGCATGCAGCGCGCGGTACCTGGATGACGCACCGCTGGTAACTTCTCGAAGTGTGTTGGTGCCGTGATGAGTGACATTTTTGGTGGGACCTGACAGGATTCATTCCTGCACGCCGAACTTCGGCATCACGCCTTCGCTTAACGCAGACGCAGCTATCGCAGCTCGACAGCCGGTCAGGCGTTGGACGAGGTAGCACGGCAGCCATTGTACATCGAGGAAGGACTCCCTCACAGCGCGCGCACGTCAATCAGCACTCGAATGCCCTTCCCACGACGACTTACTTGAGACGCGGTGGCTGACAGAATGGAGTGCTGACGGCAGGAGCACGTACCCCATGCATAAACGATAGCAGCGAATGAACGCTTTGGGACTGTGATTGTAACAATTGGGCTGCCGCACTGCAGTCCGTCATCGCTGAGGATGCCCTTGTAGCTCGAGGTCATCGCGTAACCACGCGCGATCAAAGGAAATATCGACTAGTGTAGGGTAATGTAAGGAGACGGGACTCTGCCATAACGGGCAGGAAGTGGCCGGATAAATTGCAGTAGTTCGAGATAACAGCCTTAGCTAGAGCGTCTGGTTGCTTGGTATGTGAAATCGGACGGAGCGTTAATCACGAAGACGTACTGTAATTAACTCCATCGCGCCTCTTCCATGTCGTCGTGAGCGCGTATCCACATTGGCGTGTCCCTGAACAGCGGCGCCGTCGTTCGGGACCCGAACCGCCGCGGTACTCTCGAGGACGTCCAGACCGCGAACGGTTTGCCCAAAACGACGAGCAAAGTTTGGGCGAGAGTCAGGAGCGGACTGAACTTTGGATGCGGCGCGAGGTGGTTGGCGCGACGCCCGGTTAACGTTGAATTTTACGTCACGTGGCGCGTGCGCAGTTCACACGGTACTTGCGCAGGCAGGTCAAGAAGCACCATGACCCGAACGTACGGCGTAGTTCGATTGTGACAACGTTGGTGTTACATCGCTCTGGGGCCCCATCCATCCGGCCCACATAGTAGTACTTATCGCTTGAACTCTGGTCCTCAGAAACTGCAAACGATATTGCTAGGGATTGTCTGTGAAACCATCAAAGCGCGCGGTAGTTGGGACGACTATTCAATTCTGTTGACACGCGGCATGGTTTCCGCACTCTGCGAATGAAATATAGAAGTACAGAGATAGCCAGCTCATACAAAGTGTCCATCGCAGTCAAAGTTACCCTCCGTCTTGAAATTGCATGAACTCTCTTCTCCGCCTCCGGTGATACGAACGTTGTCGATCTTGATGTCGCTACAGCTTCCTTCACCACAAAGGATATAGTAGTTCTTTCCTTCCTCTGTTGCCGTACCAAATATGTTCTTCATGGTAATGTTTTGGATGATGACACCGTTCGTGGGGTTGCCAGTCGGCCCACCGTTTAGGTAGTCTTGCTGGATGTCGATTCCGTAGATGGAGATGTTTTCAACGCGAATGTTCTCGTAGTGGATGTTGGAGATGAAACCGGTGGTGTTGGAGTTCGACTTGATGCGGGCTCCGTTCTCGGCGTTAAGAACCACGGAGTCTGTGAATGAGATGTTTGTTACGTTGTTGT